CAGCGTGTCTGCTGTTTGGATTCTTGCGCAAGAACTGTACTTGCGTAAGAAGCTGCAAGTGTAGACATAGCCTTAGAGGGGACACTTCCCCCAGCCTCTCTGCCCCTGAGTTAATGTCACACACTTTGGGTTAATGCAATTGCAGGATAGTTGCGTGCGGGGGGTTTGGTGGGGGCCAAACTAATCCCTGTTGGTAGGAGGATGGTGGGAAAATCCTTTGAGAGGGGTGACATGGCACCTTTTACTTCTGGTCATGTGTCCGTATTGCCCCGAGAATGTTACCTCCAGAGGCCTGGCTAATGGCGGTCAGGGGGTGTGGCTAACGGGTTGGGGCACGGTTAATGGGGCCAAGGGGTGTGGCTAATTGGGGTTAGGGCATGGTTAACGGGGGCCAGGAGATGTGGTAATGGGGCACCACCAAAAATTTTACAAATCTGCCGCCTCTGCTGGCGCCGGAGGAGTGCGTCGGCTGCCTGCGTCATAGGAAGTGTAAGTTTAGTGCAAGCTTTTCCAGTGCTGCGTGCATGTGTGCGCGCGCTGGTGGTGTGTGGTTTTTTATTTTTCTTTTCTCTCAACTAAAATTGCTGCGGGGCCCCGTCGAAATTGTTCGAATTGGGCCCCGCACTTCCTAAAGCCACCACTTCCCCCCCGGCCCCGTCGAAACTGTTCGAATTGGGCCCCGCACTTCCTAAAGCCAACGCTTCCCTCCCCCCTCCATTAGAAATGTATTTTACGTGCACCCTGCTCGTGTTGTAGCTCCACGGGGTGATGCGCCGAGTGAAAATGGGCCATTTACCAAAGGGAGGGGAGGCGGCTTTTGTGGCAAAAGGAGCTGAAAGGGCCGTTTCCTACACTGGGCAGGCAGAGATACCGCACTGGACGTGGCTTCTGCTTGTCCAGATTCCCAGTGGCACCGGAGAGCCAGGGAACCAGCCAGGGAAGCCTTTGCCTCCTTGATCTGGATACGAGGCCTAGCAAGGGGTTCAAACGCCGCAGCCCCCACGCAAGTTCGTTCCCCACGTCCGGACCCGAGTTGTGCCCGTCCCACGTTGTCTCTTACTGCGCAGACCACGAAAAGGCTCCTCCCAGGGCCGCCTGTTGGAGGAGCAGTTTAGTGACCTTGTCCCCTCCTCCTCCGCCATGCAGAGCTGCATCGACTGGAACCGAGACATCCTAAAACGGGAGCTGGGCCTGAGCGAGAGAGACATCCTAGACCTTCCGCAGCTCTTCTCCGTCCTCGACGAGGAAGCCAGTGCTTTCTTCCCAGACATGGTAAGGGCCGTGGGAACAAGGGCCTCTTCCGCCCTTTGCTCGTGACGTCGGGAGGAGAGGACGCAGGCGTGGGCTCAGGTCCAGTGTTCGAACTGAGTCTATTTTGAAATGGCTCTGAGTTAAAAACACACTGCTGAAGGAAATCTTGCAGATGAAAGATCCAAATGCTTCAAAAACGTCCCCAAAAAACCCAACCCAGAGTTTTCTCAGACTTGTGTAACTGCAATTTGGCAAAACCAACCCACATTCACACAGGGTCTACACTACAAAGAAAAGTTGGAACCGCTATTTGTGTATCATCTTCCGCTTTTCTTTCAAAAGAGGCTTTTCCAACATTGGGCCCATCTACACAAGGCCAAATGTTGGAGGGGGGGGGAACCCTCTTTCAGAATACCCCTTCTTCCTTGTAGAACAAGATTTACAGGGATGCCGCAAAAACATGTCTGCTTTTCTGAATTTTCTTTTCAGAAAAGCAGCCGCATGCCTTGTCTCTGCAGTGTAGACATCGCCTCAGAGTTGCCAAACCTGCATTTTCACCAGAAAAAGAGTTTCCTCTAGAAAAATTCCATCCCGTTCCTCTGGGCCTTTCTCCAGAGACTGGGTTTTGCTGAAAACACGCAAACCTTGCTGAGTACCAGGCTAATCTTCAATACAACTTGGAGGCCGCCTCCTTGGACAGCCACCGAGCCTGCGTTTCAGGCAGCTTGCCCCCGGGCTAGCGCTGTGGGGGGCCTGCAGTGGCCACTTCAACCATGCTATGGACAGGAGGTCCCTCTGTATTCTGAGGCCCATGTCCACCTGGGGGAATACCTGGGGGGCAGCAGCTTGGCCCCCGCCCATTCCACTGCGCTCCCTGAGGGGGCAGGGCTTGGGGGGGGGGGATGAGATTTGGGGTAGGGCTGGACTCCTCCTGGGGTTGGCAATGCTGAGGGCGTTTCCTCAGTAGACCGCAAAGCACTCGACAAAGGAGGTGAGTGGCGTGACACCCACACTGGAGACAGGGCAGAGATTTTGCCCAAGCGGGAGAGGGGTGGAGCTGGGCCTAGAAGCCAGGTCTCCTGAGGCCCAGTCAAGTTGCTCTTTCCACTAGACAACACTGCCTCCTTTAGGCGCCCAGCCTGTCTTCTGGGCCCACTCCCAAGCTTGATTCAAGTCCAAGGGAACCTTTCTGTTGACGTGAGGGCCTTTGTCTCAGTGCCCAGCACAGCGGGTCCCGGTCGTCGCCCTCAGGCACAACCACGTTCGATAATTAAAAATGGATCCAAAACCTGAGTTTGCCTGAGAAGCCTCCTGTTTCCGCAGAGCAGCGCAATCCTTCTCTTCTGGCACACAGGGCTGGTCCGCACCAGGGTCCCCTCTAGCTTTTCCCATGCATGTGTGGAATGAATTTTATATGCGCCAATATGGAGGTGAGGTGGGACATGGAAGCTAGCAGAGATGTATCACCTACACCTAATGGATCCAAAACCTGAGTTTGCCTGAGAAGCCTCCTGTTTCCGCAGAGCAGCGCAATCCTTCTCTTCTGGCACACAGGGCTGGTCCGCACCAGGGTCCCCTCTAGCTTTTCCCATGCATGTGTGGAATGAATTTTATATGCGCCAATATGGAGGTGAGGTGGGACATGGAAGCTAGCAGAGATGTATCACCTACACCTAACAAAATTCATGTGTTGGAGGGGGTGGAGCCAAGGAATCCAGAGTGGGGGAGGGGACAAAGCGGGGGGGGGGATGGTGAGCGTTTTGGGG